AATTTAAATCATTGGCTAACACATATTCTGATTTCTATGTAAGTCATCACAGTTTTACATAAGGTATTAAGAAGTAACTAAGAAGGACAAAGTTTACTGAAGGAATTTTATAATCTACACTGAAATAAGGGCCTGACAGCATCTGACAAAGTGCACGCACACACACACACACACAAGTATATAAAACAAAGACAACATCTCTCCATATTTGCTTAGAAAACAAAAATTGGAGTGGCTGTACCTGTTCTTTGCTAACAAACTAATTGTTAAAGTTTGATAGCAAAATCTGACCTGCAACGAGTAACTCAAAAGTAGACCAGCATTAGCATATTCAAACTGAGTCATGTAATCCTTCAGCAGGATCAGAAGTTTGCAAAGGAGCTTAGGGCATCAGCTGCTAGAAGAAGAAACAACCTGCAAGATCATTCTCTAGAGTATGAGCAGCTGATGGCCTGGATACAACAACTGGGCTTCTCTGAGGAGCAGAAACTTTACAGCTCTGTGTATCTCAAGGGGATGAAATGTTTCTCCAGCCTCATGCTGATTCTGTCCTTCCTAAGTGTACTCCTTACTTCCCCCACTCTCCATAGAAGTAGAGAGACCATGCAAACTGCTGGGAACAAGGAACAGGGGGCTTAAACTTCAATTTACGGTCATCAGAACAAAAGAAGCATGTCCAACTCTTAAGGGTCTGACTGGTAGAGACCACTTTGCAGCATTAGTCAACAGGACATATTATGTATCTTGGCCATAGCTTAAAATGCCATCAAAACCCATGCATGATCACTTGACCTTATCAACCACCCCAATACTGAGTGGCATGTGCTAACTGCAAGGAATATTTAACAGATCTTGGAGTGCAGATTATAAAACTCCTATCCAAACTACCCAAACCAAAACTCAGCAGGACTTAAAATTCATTTTCTTTCAACAAACCCCTTCCCATCCTTCCTGCTGTCAGATCTTTACCTCTTTCCTGAAGTCTAGGATTCTTCCTACCACCACAATGTTCTCTAGGAAGCGATAAATAAACCTCCTACATACACTGCTGCCATTCAAAACAGCTAAAAGCTACGGCCTATGTCCTGCTGGTTATTTTTCTCAGGCCTTGACAAAAACCAGAAAGCAAAAAGTTAAAATGGTTCCAGCTAGCTCTGTTGACAGCACAAGCCAGTAACAGCCTGTCTAACCATGACTCAGAATCTCTGCCATCAGAAATTAAAAATACTCCAGTCACATACCCTAAAGCTTGACGGTGAGAAAGACACATGCATACATTTGTCACCAGAATTGCTATGGTAACCCTTTAGCATGCACACACAACACTGGAAAATTTCAGACTGAAATAACATCACTTCCATAGACATTTCACATACAGGAAAACAAGAATCTCACGAAAACAAGTATCAATCATGAGTATTTTGTCCATTTCTAACGCAGATTTGAACGGCTGCCAAGGAGAAGGGAGAAGCATCTGTGGGGCTGCTATATCTCAAAGTCCCCCCAGAGAGAGGGCTCATGGATGCTGACACCAGAGAAAGTATGTTGCACCAGAGATGGGCTTGGGAGAGGATATTGCCACGAGGAAGAAAACAGTTGGCTGAGACAAAGTCACAACGAAACACCACCCTGCCCCACATTTATAGCTGTTGGCGGTTTCACTTCAGCAGGATCTCGTAAAGGATCATTTTGTCTTCCTCCACCATCATACTAAATGCACTGTTTTCTAATATTTATGTGAACTTTACTTCTAAACAACAAAAAAAAAGTTAAACATAACAAGCCTTCTCTCTGTACCCCGTTCGTACATTCCTTATGGAATTAACTTTAGACTAGAAGCCGTGCTCTGTTCTTTGACAAACATGAATACTTGCATTATACTAAGGAGGAGATCTATGTGCAGAATTCGGTTGTATAGATTTATTAGGAAAATAAACCTTTCTGGTGCAAGCTAATCTAAATACATATTTACATTCTAAACAAGAAAAAGCAGGTATTCTTTGGGTTCACTTAAAAGCCAGAATTTAAGTTTCAGAAAAAAGTATTAGAAGTTTTATTATTTGCTCTTCTACAAAGAAACTCAGTTAACATGGTAATTGAAACAGCTTTTTTTTTTTTTTAACAGGAAACCAAAATCATAATAAGGTATTTTATTTTTTAGAGGTTATGCTAGAAATTATTTAGCTATTCATCATGGTCTCTACCTTTCAGTGATACAACAGAGCCATGAGCTTTTTCTGAAAAAATGTTTGTGGGTTGTAATAAAGGTTCTTTTTACTTGAAACAGGAAAACACAAAACAAAATTATCTTTTGTGGTGTATTTTTGAAGAAAAGAAGCAGTAAAAATTCAAAGATAAAAAGATAAGAGGTGTTGCTGATCTGTTATGAATTTATATTTTTAGCCAGCAATTAAATGTACGTGTTGGGTGAATTTAGTGTGTACTTTTAGAAAATCATAGGAAAAAAGAATATGTGTTAATAAAACACTGAGTGTAAAAAGGATTAGAGTTTATCTTTGATCTTAGTGTAGACTTACATAGCTGTGATATCAAAAACTTTCTAAGGGCTTCTTTTGTCAGCAGAGCATTTCTGATGTTTGAAACCAGGAAGCCTTTACTTACTAACCAAACCAACCAAAACCTTTTCTTTTGGATTTCTCATGGACATAGTTAAGACCAGGGAAAGTATTGACAATCATGGGTGGCTGAAATTTCTGCAAACATTTTTTTAATGAGAAACTGAGGGGGTTTGACATACTTTATCTGTACGTGAACAGGTTATGTTTTCTATAGATACTTTAATAAGAATTTTTTTAAGTCTTGAGATTTTCAACCACAGCTTTTAACATTTTTAAAATGTGGTTTCATGAAGTTATCTGGGTTTGGGTTTCAGTTTAAGAGGAAAGACATCTAAATGTACAGCCTACATGTAGTTGCCTAAGACACGTAGATGTCAGCAATTTGGTAGAATGGTTATTAGATTCAGTAGCTGCCTGTAATCAGAACCTATAATTAAAAGGCATGATTGTATGCAACTAGTGTCATGTGAGAGGTTCCCTAGGTATCCAAGACAGCTGCCCATGACTGACAGATACAACAACGGCCCTACACAGGCTCCAGCCATTGTATGTACAACTCCAAGGCTGGAGACCATGGACCAGCAATAAACACCTGTGTGCAGGGAACGTAACTGAACCTTGGGAGCTTAAAAAGAGCTGAAGAGATCTCTAGGCACAATGAATATTGACCCAACCTTTACTGACTACAAGGAGCGTCTCCACGCTACCCATCTCAGCACCTACACACAAGCTTCTTTCTAGGTTTTTAGGCACCTTGATCTAGAGCTGAATCCTGCTCTGACTGTCTCGTGCCATTCTGACTTCCTCACCAGTGCCCTTGCAAGAATAATCCAACCTGCTCTAGTGGGAGATGTCCCTGCCCGTGGCAGAGGGGTTGGAACTCAATGATCTTTAAGTTCCCTTCCAACTCTAACCATTCTGTGATCCCTGGACTCAATCAGCCTGAAGTAACTGAGTACCTACATGTCCTCCTGCCACAATACAAGCACCTCGAGATGAAAAAGGAGGAAAAGGCAGTATCAAGAATATTGGTGAGTGCTGCTCAGAGCAATGGCAATGGCACAGAGATGAACACTTCCTACTTAAGTTAGGATGTAAGAATTTTCATCGTCAGTCTTGTGGGTCCTAGTACCTTGTACCTGTTTTCTTTAAAATCATTCAGGTCACAGAGAAGTTGAAACAATTTCGGGGGCAGAGGGAAGATTTTTAGAAGGTTTTTCCTATGGTTTGTTCCCCTCTTCTCTTGCAATCATTTCTCTGCCTTTTTGCCCTTTACACAGCACTGAATGGTGCTATCTCCACTGTGGTTTTTTGCCTACAGTTACCTTTGGGCATTTCATGTAGAGAGATGAACTCCAAAGACCGAGAAGCTGTTTACAAGCATTAAGCAAGAGACTCTCTCCAAGCAACTGAAACGTGGGACGTGGGGGTCCAAACCCAGAGGGAAAAAACATGGGTGGCAGCACAAGTCAACATCAAGTAGATGTTGATGAGGATACTCATTCAAACTGAATGGGAGGAGGGCTTGTAACACAAACTGTCTTTCAACAGAGAACTATGATTAGAAAGAAAAAGTCTGAGGAATATGTTTCCTTCTCATAAAAAAAAACTTTAACTTAAAAAAATTATCAGGCCCTTGCAGAAATCCTGGTTCAGGCAACTCACTTGTGCTAAGATTGTCCCACAGACCAGAGTTTACTTCCCATAATGCATCTTGAGTATGCAAAAAGATAGAGATTTTCAACTGATTTCACTAAGTTTGGCTTTGCTACTGGCTTCCCTCTTCTCTTCCTTGCTCTTCCACCTTTCTGTACTGCTCTTTAACTCTATTAATTTACATTAAACCTAGTGTTTCCTTTCTGCTGGTCGATTTCTACCTTAAAACTGAAGTTGGATCCCTAGATTTCCATGTCTTCAATTACAGCTCACAAGACAAAGTTCTACTGTTCTTAAATAAAGCAGAACTAATTCAAAGCAGTGTATATAATTAATCAAAATAGCTAGCAGTGCAATATTTAAAATAACTGAGGGCTGCCTGGATTATAGCAACATTATTAGCATGTGATTAATAAGCAGTTGAAGTATTACATTTGCTACACATTTGCTAAGTTATTTTATCTTGCTTTAAAGTTAGGTGGCAAAGTTTCAAGCCATAGTTAGGAGATTTGCTTTATTCAGTATTACGTTGTTAACCCCACCATCTGGTCAAACAGCTGAGGGAACTCAGACAACCATAGGGGGGGGCATGTTTCTCTCTTGGGAAATATTTGCCTTACTGAATTATGCAATGGTTACCAGTTTCTAGCTTCTTACAGTAGGATTTTAAAAAAAAAAAATCAATCAAAATACTTTGCAGATAACCCAAGTTTGGCAGGTCCTGTATTTAGCCTTAACTTATATAGGAAATAAGATGGCACTTACTTGTGGACCAGGCTGACCCTGAAAAACAAGAAAAAGAAAAGGTTATGGAAAGTTATGACAAGGATTAACTCCTTAAATAGTAGCAAATAGTTACAGTACTCTAATAAGGAGATAACAAAAAATACAGACTCTTGACTCTTAAGTTACATCAACTTTGAATGTTTTAATTCAAACTGATGAAGTTTCTTGCAAGTAACTGATTCTAGAAATAAATTATAACAACATTGAATCTGCACTTGAGAAAGTTCATACTTGGGATAGTCAGAACAATACAATTTAGAAACAATAGAAAGATCTAATTTAATTGTTCTCAAGGGAAAAAGAATCCCCAGATGCTGACCTGATTTAGAAGTAGATATTGGGTGCTCTTTCTCTGTTATTGCTCACCCCTACTTTCAAGGAGGTGCTAACTATTGCCTATGGAATGAATAAAGTCTAAAACCTGAAGGAAAGCATTGCTGGGCACACAATAGTCTTGCCATTGCTGCAAGCACCACAATTTTAAGCAACTTTAAACCAATATTTAAACCAGCATTTCAGCAGCAGATGAACCCTTATCATTCAGCCCAAGAGGTAGCAGATATATTTCCTCTCCCTTATTTATCAATACCACCTTTGGACCACTCCATGCCCCCTCTGCACACCTAGGAGGTGTATGCATCTCTTGGTGCTGCAAGCCCTTACAGAGCAGACTTCCTATCATTAATATTCCCAGCCTAAGACAGTGAAAGTCACCAGTTATTCTAGCCCACTCATTACAAATTATTTGCATAAAGCATAACTATATTACAAAATAGTATAGTAGCTGTGACTATGAACTACAACCACCCGGCTGGTTGTACTACAGCCACTATTAACTCACACTGTAAATCAGAGACAAATATTTATACATTTCTCCCTATAAAGAGAGAATTTCTTAAACCCCTAGGGCTAGCTTAGCTTCTAGCACTATATGACACTTCAATAATATTTCAGTTGAATTGAAACTACATTTCCTTTTGTTGGAAGAAAATGAGCATGAAGACTTCTTATAAAACCTCTTCAATTTAGCTAGGAGGAACTGCTAGACAGAGTTGAAACTCTTCCATCTGAGCATCAGGAAACACTTTTTTACTATGAGGGTAACCAAGCTCTGGCACAGGTTGCCCAGGGAGACCGCAGAGTCTCCATCCCTGGAGATACTCAAAAGCCATGTGGACGTGACCCTGGGCAACATGGTCTAGATAGCCCTGTTTGAGCAGAGAGGTGAGAACAGATGACCTCCAGAGAGGGGGAGCATTTAAACTGGGAACTAGTCTCTGGCACAGGTTGCCCAGGGAGACTGCGGAGTCTCCATCCCTGGAGATACTCAAAAGCCATGTGGACATGACCCTGGGCAACCTGGTCTAGATGGCCCTGTTTGAGCAGAGAGGTGAGAACAGATGTCCTCCAGAGATCCCTTCCAACTTCAACCACCCTGTGGTTCTGTGTGATTTTAAAAGGAAGAGAGGGGGAGCATTTAAACCGGGAACTAGTTGCTACAAGAAAAGCAGTTGAAGAAAAATGCAGTTTTTAGTAATTAATAAGATTTTTCCTGCTACATTAAAATGAGGAACATGTATTTTAATTCACATGCAAGTTTTTAAAGACTTAAAAAAAAAATTAGAAATAATGTTACAAGGAATCATGTTAAAATACAGAACTATCTAATCCTTACACTGAAGGCAATTTCTCCCTATAAAGAGAGAATTTCTTAAACCCCTAGGGCTAGCTTAGCTTCTAGCGCTATATGACACTTCAATAATATTTCAGTTGAATTGAAGCTACATTTCCTTTTGTTGAAAGGAAATGAGTATGAAGACTTCTTAGAAAACCTCTTTAATTTAGCAAGAAGGAACTGCTAGACAGAGTTAAAACTTTTCCATCTGAGCATCAGGAAACACTTTTTTACTATGAGGGTAACCAAGCTCTGGCACAGGTTGCCCAGGGAGACTGCGGAGTCTCCATCCCTGGAGATACTCAAAAGCCATGTGGACATGACCCTGGGCAACCTGGTCTAGATGGCCCTGTTTGAGCAGAGAGGTGAGAACAGATGTCCTCCAGAGATCCCTTCCAACTTCAACCACCCTGTGGTTCTGTGTGATTTTAAAAGGAAGAGAGGGGGAGCATTTAAACCGGGAACTAGTTGCTACAAGAAAAGCAGTTGAAGAAAAATGCAGTTTTTAGTAATTAATAAGATTTTTCCTGCTACATTAAAATGAGGAAAATGTATTTTAATTCACATGCAAGTTTTTTAAAAAAATAAAAATTAGAAAAAGTGTTTCAGGGAATCATGTTAAAATACAGAATGATTGTGGCTATCTAATCCTTACACTGAAGGCAGCCTAAAGCGTTCCTTGATGTAGATGCTGCAGTTGTGTATTAATTCCTTACAACAACACTGAACTACAGAAGTTTTCAGACAAAAACTGTTCTGGCTGAGGTTTGCCAGTTCATAACAGGTTATGCTATATTTGATCCTAAATTCATCAGGAATTGCTTGCTGCTGCAATGTTGCACAGCCTGTACAATAAATATGTATAAATTAACTAAACTGAGACCTATGCATGCAAACTTTAATATACAAACTCACAATACATTTGTCTCACAAGTATATCTAAAGTTGCAATACATTTTGACCAAATCATTAGTCTGTCTCCAAGATGTATGTATTTTAAAAAAAAATAATTAAATGGAAGTCTGAGATCACCAAAATGTTTCAACAAAATGTTGATTTAAAGCAGTAGAAAATTAATAAACAGAATATATACATATATTTTAAACAGAAATCTTTGGAAACTGATACTTTTTTTTTTTCAATCTAACTTAGACATAGAGACTACTAAGTGTCCACATGGTACATGCTCTCTGTGTGACATAAGAGACATACACACAACACAAACATACACTGAATTGAATGTCAGGGACAGAATCATGATTCCATGAAAGCGTTTTCTACTCTGAATCTCAACAACATTATCAGTTTGCCTTTTTGTAATCGTACATTTATAATGACTTTTATCAATTTTTGCAATATTGAGAGAGGAAAGCTGGAAACTGAATTTTTATAGAATAATTGACACAGAATTCAATGAGATAACGAGGAATGTAATAGCTGTATTACTCTTAGTTTATGCATGCTGTTAATATGGCAATTATCCTGCATTTAACTGTAAATGCAGGTGCTGAATACAAATGTACTCATAGCCATATTTTTTTATCCTATTGGCTACGAGCTCCTTGAACGTGGAAGGAACCTTGCATTAGTGAAAGTAATTATTTTTGGGGGTTTTTTCAGTTGTTCCAAATCCTTCAGTATTTTTGTATTGCTCTTAGATACTAGTACTGCAGTTAAAGTATAACTTTCCCTTCTCACTAACGATCCAGTAAGTGACACTAACCAGAGGCCGCAGCAAGCACTACATTATGGAACTCATCAGCTCTGCTTACAAAATTACAGGTAGAAAGGGGCATCACAATACTGGTATTTTTGGTTGTAAAGGGTCATTGGCACACAAGCACAATTCAAAGTGCAGGAAATGTAAAAGGGGTTGTTCATTTTGCCTTCTCTCACTTTTGTATGTTGTGAAAGGGGCAGGGTCAATAACTCTGTGAGTTTTGTGCTCATTTAAAAACCCTCTAACATGAATACAATCTGATAGCATAACTCATTTGAGCAATCTCAATCTCAAATTATATGCTTGTGTTCCCAAAATGGCTCCAGGATTGCTGAAATCACTGTGGCTCACTGCTGGGTAAATTGTTCTCAATGCATGCTACTTGTGTATTAAAACGTTGTAGCTGGAAGTATTTCTCCAATTTTAGATAAAAACCAGGGTGAAAATACTCCTCAAGACTGAGAAGTCAGCATTACTCTCATTTTTTTTCCAAGGGACACCTCTTTATTCAAATGTGTTACGTACTCTAAAATTGATTTTTGTAGCTACCAACTGACTGCTGTCCTTTGCATGCATCTACAGATCAGTCCCAACACCAATAATTAATCAGGTGTATTTTAGTGGCTGCTGCTTTGAACCTCTGGATCATTGCTCATTTACTTGATTATCTAATACTGGTTGCTGCTTTTTTTTTTTTCTTTTTTCTTTTTTTTTTTTAATCTGCATGACTAGAGTGGGTATAGCTCTACAATATTTCATGATTACAGCAAAATCTTCAGAATAATTTTCCCTTCTGTATTCCTATTTACTGACTCACTACATTATTTTGCAGAAAAGAAAAGGGTTTATTTGGCAGGCTATTCTAATTAACATGATGGAAGGTCTTCTAGGGTTGATAGTTAATCCCTTCCTAGCAATTTAACCTAATATTAGTGGCTGATATGACAGTGATACCAAAAGAAAAATAAAAGATATATGGAGGAGCCAGGTCCAGCTGAAGTCAACAAGCAAACTATCAATCTCCTAAAACAGGAGATTAAAGAAAAAGCCGACTGACTGGAGGCTGCAAACATTGCAGAAAAGTTACTTAACAGGCAAAAGAGAAGTCAAGGAATAAGGGGAAAGGTCTTAAGAGAAGAAAATGGAAGCTGACGCTGCGAGTTAGCAAGTTGAGCTTGCAGAGGAAACAGGGCTTGTAGTAAATGAAAGGACAGAAAAGAAAAGATTTATTCAGGGTATCAAAGAAAAGGGCTGTCCTGGAAAAGGAGAAGGAGAGAGGGAGGAAAAAAAATAGCATGAGAAAGTGAAGAAACTGGATTTTCACAGCTTTTGTGCTGGGAACATAAACATCCAGGCTCATACATCCAAATACGTGGGTATAATAATGTATGCACAAATAAAAATATATTTAGAAATGCATTGTATAAAATTAAATGTTATTTCTAACTTAATTCAAGTAGCATCTCCCTAGAGATTATCCGGGATAGCATACAAATGCATTTGAAATGAGACACGTGGCTGTTGAGATCTAATCAGCTAACAAAATCCAGGCAGAGAAATTAAAACACAGAAATGAAGAACCTTTGGAAAAAGGAAATCAGCAAGAGCCACAGATCAGAATTAATAACCCAGCTGTTTGAAGGGCACCACCAAACCACCCTTGTGAAACACCCTCTGGACAGAGCACCCAAGCAGGGACATCTGCCTTCCAGTCTAACCCAGAGAGAGAACGATGAGGAGACAGGAGGGGCAGGGCTGACCTCCAGAGACACAAAAGACCCAGGTGGCTTTTCAGCACTCTGTTAACATCTATGCTACTGAGGCTGAAGTAAATTATGCCAAATGAAACCAATATGTGATTAATATACATTTCAACATGAGCAATTAAAAAAAAAAACCAAACCAACAACAAAGAGGGAAAATGTGCACGACCTAAATTACACTGGTTTTGAACAAATCACCTACCAGCTTTCCATCCATACCAATCGGACCCTGGGATAATCAAAAGTCAAAACAAAATGGAACAGTTAAATCAGAGGAACACTGAAGATGGGGGAAAAATATACAGAGTTGGGGAATACCGAAGGCTTTAGAAGATGAATAACTAACTCTACGTCAACAGTTAAATGCAATGCCTTAAAGATATCTTGAGAATGAAGGTACAGAAAAGAAACAAGAAAAGAAGCAGACCTAAGACAGAAGTAATAAAACCACCATTGTGGGAAGTAGCCAGGCAATAGCTGGTGTTTAACAAAAGATAGGTTCAATATACAATGAAGGAATTGTTAGTTTGGTAAACACAATGGTACAACATAATGAAACATATGAAATAATGCATCTGGCTTGTGTATTTTTCTTTAAATAATTGAGAAAACAGAATAGGTAGCTATTTACTGAATGCTCTTATCACACGGTTGCAAGATGAAAAGAGCTAACACTTACAATCTCACAACAAATCTTTCTTTAAATCAACATTATAATAATGATGGTTAATAAGAAACTTCAGCTCACGCAGCTCACTGAGGTACTAAAGATTTCTGCCTATACTTTGGCCAATAAATCTGTGCTTGTGCCTTACACTGCTTTTCTTCTCCCCTAATTAACCTTGCAATTAACCTTGCTGATACCTTGCAAGCTACTTATTTCCTTCAGAGTCCAGAGGTTGATTCCAGTTATATGGATGCAAACTCTAGAAAGGATTTTATGTGAATGTACACTGTTGCAACTCACAGCGTGGTTCTAAACTGCATGTTTAGGTGTTCAGAGGAGAGAGAAGAGAGCTTAATGGTTAATTGCTATGTCCTCTGAGAAACGAACAGTCAAGATACCTTTCACTGAGAACGGAATCAGAGGAGAGAGAAAAGTTGTTTCTGCTGTTAAATTCCTCTGTGAGGCTGAAACTGGGAGCTTTCAGGCTTTTGTCCCATGCGAAAGGGACACTCAGTTTGCATCTGCTGGAAATAGATTTTCTCATAAATGCTGGCACTGCAGCCAGGCTTTCCCCTGGAGCTTCACAGGCACTCCTAAGCATGCAGCCCCGGAGGGATGATTGCCCACACTGCTTGATTTGGATCACTGCTGCCAAGAAGACAGCACGTAACATATTTGCTGGGTTTATGTTGATCCATTTTATCCTCACTGCCTTTTGCCCCCTTTCTGAGCACTTTCTGGCTTGTGAGCAAAACTTGAAGTGTAATAGTTTAGCCTAAATCAAGTCTGCAGTTCTTCTGCTGACCCCTTCACCCAGGAGTGTGTATTCTTACCTTCTGCACTACTACTAATAGGTACTATAGTCATACGAATGAGTCTGATCAACCAGCTATCAAGAAAGCAATGATGAAAAAGTGATGCTCTATCAATCTAGCGAGGTCCCCAGCTATCTGTCCTCTCCCAGCCTAGATCATGGACTCTGCTAAAAACTCCAGACATACTTAGTATGAAGGAGGATGTCAGTTGGACGTCCATATTGTGAAACTCACGAGTTTTCGTAAATTATTGGCTTTCTAAGAAGCCCGTGCGCTAACCTACTTGTCAGATCCGATAACAAGTTACTGTGTGTGGGCAGCCCTACAGGAACAAAACCCCTTACCTCTCCTTCCCTCCAGCTCTGACTGTGGAGTCCTGTCACATCACGAGCAGATGACACGCTGACAGTGTAAAGCAGGTCACCAGCATCTTGGTTATCTGCATGACTTTGTGAAACACCCTCTGGACAGAGCACCCAAGCAGGGACATCTGCCTTCCAATCTAACCCAGAGAGAGAACGATGAGGAGACAGGAGGGGCAGGGCTGACCTCCAGAGACACAAAAGACCCAGGTGGCTTTTCAGCACTCTGTTAACATCTATGCTACTGAGGCTGAAGTAAATTATGCCAAATGAAACCAATATGTGATTAATATACATTTCAACATGAGCAATTAAAAAAAAAAACCAAACCAACAACAAAGAGGGAAAATGTGCACGACCTAAATTACACTGGTTTTGAACAAATCACCTACCAGCTTTCCATCCATACCAATCGGACCCTGGGATAATCAAAAGTCAAAACAAAATGGAACAGTTAAATCAGAGGAACACTGAAGATGGGGGAAAAATATACAGAGTTGGGGAATACCGAAGGCTTTAGAAGATGAATAACTAACTCTACGTCAACAGTTAAATGCAATGCCTTAAAGATATCTTGAGAATGAAGGTACAGAAAAGAAACAAGAAAAGAAGCAGACCTAAGACAGAAGTAATAAAACCACCATTGTGGGAAGTAGCCAGGCAATAGCTGGTGTTTAACAAAAGATAGGTTCAATATACAATGAAGGAATTGTTAGTTTGGTAAACACAATGGTACAACATAATGAAACATATGAAATAATGCATCTGGCTTGTGTATTTTTCTTTAAATAATTGAGAAAACAGAATAGGTAGCTATTTACTGAATGCTCTTATCACACGGTTGCAAGATGAAAAGAGCTAACACTTACAATCTCACAACAAATCTTTCTTTAAATCAACATTATAATAATGATGGTTAATAAGAAACTTCAGCTCACGCAGCTCACTGAGGTACTAAAGATTTCTGCCTATACTTTGGCCAATAAATCTGTGCTTGTGCCTTACACTGCTTTTCTTCTCCCCTAATTAACCTTGCAATTAACCTTGCTGATACCTTGCAAGCTACTTATTTCCTTCAGAGTCCAGAGGTTGATTCCAGTTATATGGATGCAAACTCTAGAAAGGATTTTATGTGAATGTACACTGTTGCAACTCACAGCGTGGTTCTAAACTGCATGTTTAGGTGTTCAGAGGAGAGAGAAGAGAGCTTAATGGTTAATTGCTATGTCCTCTGAGAAACGAACAGTCAAGATACCTTTCACTGAGAACGGAATCAGAGGAGAGAGAAAAGTTGTTTCTGCTGTTAAATTCCTCTGTGAGGCTGAAACTGGGAGCTTTCAGGCTTTTGTCCCATGCGAAAGGGACACTCAGTTTGCATCTGCTGGAAATAGATTTTCTCATAAATGCTGGCACTGCAGCCAGGCTTTCCCCTGGAGCTTCACAGGCACTCCTAAGCATGCAGCCCCGGAGGGATGATTGCCCACACTGCTTGATTTGGATCACTGCTGCCAAGAAGACAGCACGTAACATATTTGCTGGGTTTATGTTGATCCATTTTATCCTCACTGCCTTTTGCCCCCTTTCTGAGCACTTTCTGGCTTGTGAGCAAAACTTGAAGTGTAATAGTTTAGCCTAAATCAAGTCTGCAGTTCTTCTGCTGACCCCTTCACCCAGGAGTGTGTATTCTTACCTTCTGCACTACTACTAATAGGTACTATAGTCATACGAATGAGTCTGATCAACCAGCTATCAAGAAAGCAATGATGAAAAAGTGATGCTCTATCAATCTAGCGAGGTCCCCAGCTATCTGTCCTCTCCCAGCCTAGATCATGGACTCTGCTAAAAACTCCAGACATACTTAGTATGAAAGAGGAAGTCAGCTGGACGTCCATATTGTGAAACTCATGATTTTTTGTAAATTATTGGCTTTCTAAGAAGCCCGTGCACTAACCTACTTGTCAGATCCGATAACAAGTTACTGTGTGTGGGCAGCCCTACAGGAATAAAACCCCTTACCTCTCCTTCCCTCCAGCTCTTACTGTGGAGTCCTGTCACATCACAAGCAGATGACACGCTGACAGTGTAAAGCAGGTCACCAGCATCTTGGTTATCTGCACGACCGCTACCTTTTTTATGTGCTGATGTCCTGGAAAGTTTGGGACTGTTGGGATGACCTACCCTATGTTTCAAATGTTATCTCTGAGACAGTTTTTCCCTGATAGCCAATAAAGAAACCAATGCTTTCCAGTGCCTTAACAGGACAGTTTTCTTACTGTGCTTCCTCAGTGCCTCTTGCTCCCACATGCGCAGTGCACATACAGCACTGAGCAATTTTCTCATAGTTATTTAGCAAATTTCTAAATATGGCACTGTGCACCCCAAAAACCAAGCCAAGTCTGCAAATCATTAGCTTTCCCAGATTTTTTTCTAGCACTGTACTACAGGATATTTATCTAGCAATATTTACACACACAGTCTGTTGCAGGTGCAAAAATGAAGGCTGAGCTGAACCTTGCCTATGAATACATTGACTTCTAGAAAGCAAACTACAGATATTACCAACTAAAACACTCAACAGTAAGGTCACGGTAAGTGTATAAAGTTCCTCAGAGGGTTCTGTAGGCCAGCAGCTAAATTTAACTGTTCGGTCTGCTGCAAGCTTAGCCCACAAGATTTAATTATTCTTATGATGAATGAATATAGAAAAGAATTATACAAGTATTTGTAGAAGGAAAACTGCAAGGTCAAACTGTTGGCTTAGAGGGACCAGACAACAGCTCTCACAGTTGTAGCTGTGCTTGTATCTTGCATATAAGCACTGTGTTCAGGGAATGTTTCTTTATCATAGAAAAAAAAATTCTATTTGTGCTCCCTTATAATGATAGGTATTTTAACTACTGTTACATTTTTGCCTGCTCTTTATCCATGTTACATAGTTTCTGCACTTGAATTAAAGGACTATACCTAGCATCTTCAAGAGTCTCAATGAAGAAGAATCAGAAATTCCCAGTAGGCTGAAGAGAAGCACCTGCTCACAACCCAAAATAATAGGAATTTCCCTCATGACTCCCTTTGTACCGGGACTGTTTGGTCTGAAGTCCAGGAAAGTCTTCTGGGATTGGCTTTAAAGAATAGGAGAAGAAAGAGAAATTTGCTTGAGACATACTGCCCTAAGGAGAAAAACAATTATCTCTGAAGATAAGAGTCCAATACTGTGAAAATGGGTAATAGTCTTTCATTATAAAAATACTAAATCTTTAATAGCAAAGCATGGTAATTTCCTTCTTCCCTCAATTACTTATTTCTAGTGTCGTAAAGAGAAAGAAAACACTTTTCAAAAATGGAACAATCAGAATCTCCTCAACTGATACAGGCTGGGTGAGACAGATGACCTTAAATAATACATAAGGCTACTTCAGAATGCACTGAGAAAAATCCAGTATATCACAATATTGATTGAAATTCATTACATGATTGTACTGGAAGTCTTATTCCATTTTCATTCGTTTTGAAAGAAAGACTTCAAACTACAGTACATCTTTGACTTAAACTTGATAGCCTCCAGAGCTGCACACTGTATAGTTCAAACTACTTTCTGCTTTGCTCTATAAATAACTATTTCTACAGATTACCATGTACTTTTTGACAAGTACCAAACATATGATCTTCTATAACACAATCTCCATAAAATATTTTAGAAAACTAGTCAAGGCAACTAGACATCACAAAAAAGAAGGGGATGAGTATGGTTATACCTTCAAACTACAGTACATCTTTGACTTAAACTTGATAGCCTCCAGAGCTGCACACTATACAGTTCAAACTACTTTCTGCTTTGCTCTATAAATAACTATTTCTACAGATTACCATGTACTTTTTGACAAGTACCAAACATATGATCTTCTATAACACAATCTCCATAAAATATTTTAGAAAACTAGTCAAGGCAACTAGACATCATGAAAGAGAATGGGATGAGTATGATTATAAAACAGGCATGTACACCAACTATTTGTTCACTTACTGTAGATACTACAGATGGTATTGAAAATTTTTCCTCTGGACCCTGCATTTCTTTTCTAGGTTTTCCTTTTTTAAAATGTATGCTATTATTGGATATTTACTTACACTATTATATAGACCTTCTTCCAAGATCCTCAATAGTAAAGATCTTTGTTCAGTAGATTTTTTTTTCCGAACGACACCCAACTATTGACTTAGCACCACCTATCCAGTAAAGATCTTTGTTCAGTAGATTTTTTTTCCAAACAACACCCAGCTATTGACTTAGCACCACCTATCTATCTAATAACCCTAACATGGACAGAGACAACACAAGGGAGAAAGGGGAATATGAGTGCCATTTTGGTGTGGTTTTGTGAAAATTAGCTTCCACTCCTCAGGAATGCTGTAAATATAATATTTCTCAAAGAAAGATATTTTTAGTCAAATTTTGAATGCTACACAAAATCAGTTATTTTCGATTTAAGCAGTATCTTTTTACATATGGGTTACTCTGGAGGTAAATATCTTAAGGATTTTGGGTTATTGTTAGAAACTGAATACGTAAGCAAAGGCATCAGAAATCTTTAGAGCGTTCCTATCACAAAGATAGCCAGTATTAATACTTTAGGCAGCTTTACTGCAATATTTGTGTCTTCAGAAAATTCTTCGGGAAAAGTGAAGATAAGAAAAGATATCACATATTGAAATCTACTATGTGATAAAAGAATCTTCCACAGGAAGGAAAATAGGAAGATTTGGATTATCTTCTTACTCCTAACTTCTTCACTTATCCTTCAGTGATCTTTTTCATTTAAGCAATACTCTTCAGAAGACTGAGTAGTGAACCAGGAGATACATAATAAACAAAAAACGGACAACATTTCTTCTTTATAAAATGCAGACCACCGTCTATCCAAAGGAAGTTTGGGGTTTTTATTTTTATTTTTAAGTAAAGTGGATTAGCATATTTTAATAGTGCATAATATTGGTAGGCTTATACTAATTGGAAGTCTGCAGAGAAATGTACTTGTTGCAAACACATTCCTTTGGCATTGCAAATAACTCCAAATTCTAGTTTTGTGTATTAAATTACAAGCAGGCCAATTATTATCTCCAAATGCACAATGATTTCTCAGACTTTGACGGCTCATTGTTTTTCCTGACTATTCAGCGTGAAATCAAGTGTTTTGGAAAAAATTCTCTCTCCCAGCGCAGACCATAGGTGCCTAAAATGCTCTTTCTATACAAAGTTAATACAGAAACATCTGCATGAGTACAGAAAACTGAACAGAGCCCCAGTAACACCATCCTAGATTATGTTTCAGTTTACTGGAACTTCATGGCACAAGTCAGTGGCCAAGGTTATTTCAGCATTTCTGATGGCCAGTGTTGGCCCAACAAATCAAGCCGGTGA